AGTAGAAAATTATAATTTTAAATTGTATTTCACAATATTACTGCGTTGTTGCTGTAATTGTTGTTTCTAATCAAATAGGCTACATGCGGTTTTGGTGAGCATAAGAGACTTCAAAAACATTTTAAAAAATCTTATCAACCCCAAACCTTTGAACAGCAGTCTATATGGATAGTTATTTTAGATATAGCCAACAAATGTTTTTAATTTGGAGCAAAGCTTATTTACTTTTTCTGTGACCACGGGTTTCTTCACTTCGTTTATTTAGTCAATAATCACATTTTACAGTGTGCACTGTGTTTGAGACCATTGAACTTTAGTGATAACCAGCTGTTGAGTTTCGGGGTGTAAAATCCAAAAGCGAGACATGCACACGAGAGAGGAGGGCAAACAGAGCCTATAAATGACCCATTGCTACTTTTAAAAGCACATTTTATGTCACACTGCTGCAATCTCGCTCTCCATGGAAAAACTTGCTCAGCTCGAGAAATCAACAAAACCTGGTTATTTTTCATAATTTTGCAGCCGAAGCGGAACACATTTTGAAAACAACTACAGTGTTGTTATCTATCTATCTATCTATCCAGTAATTATTTTATATTATTTTGACTTTCTTTTGTTCTTTCCTTCCTTCCTTCTTTCTTTTTTATTTATTTATCCTTTCAAATGTTTTATACATAAGCAGAGAAACACATAAGAAAAAGCATACCAACGTCGATTGTGGTTCATTTTGATTTTGGCGTCTTTATAATCTAAAGCAGCCATGGATCCGGTTATTGAAGTCGTTGCTTTATTTCTTGGCTTTGTGAGTTGGATAATGGTTGGCATTGCAATTCCGAACCGTTACTGGAAAGTATCCTCGATAGATGGGACTGTGATCACCACCTCAACCCTTTACGAGAATCTGTGGATGTCCTGCGCCACGGACTCGCTGGGAGTGCACAACTGCCGTGAATTCCCCTCTCTGCTCGCCCTGTCTGGTAGCTACGACAAAAACCACCATACTTTAATAATTTAATCATCATAGTTGAAGCAACTTGATAGACACCACTGTAAATAAGTTTATTTTTTGTTAAATAAATGGTTACCATTTCCCCCCCTCACTGATTAGCATGTGATTTGGAATAATTTAAAGCAAATCTTTTCTTTTCTTCCTTTGTCAGTCTTATTTATGTCTTACATAGGCTATATATATATATATATATATATATATATATAGCTATATAT